GGGGCCTGGGAGCCGGGACGCGCGGGGCGCGCCGGGGAGCCGGGAAAAGGCCTCGATCCGCCGTCCTTCGGGCTCCGGGCAGCCCAGCGCTCCCGCCGCCGGCCGAGGAGCGGAGACCCCCGCCTACGGACGCTGTCAGGCTCGAGGTGCGGGGTTACCCGGCACCCCCCCTCCCGGTTCACATGCTGGTCTGTCTTCCTGCCGCCGAAATGCAGCCGGGGGATGGGGGTGGAGGGTCGGCGGGGACTGGACGGGAGCGCGGAAGGAAATGGAGCCCCACGTGCTGGCTGCGGGAAGAGCGCTGACCGGGACAAGGTTGTCCCTGCGCTCCCAGCTGTGTGCCTGGGTCAAGTCACTCAGCCACTCAGAAAGCTGACGCGATGGAAGGGGGAAGTGATCCCTGTCCACATGGAAATCCTTTCCAACAACTGTAGAGCGCCTTGAGTCCTGGGCTAGATCTGAGTCCCCTCCTCGTCCCATATGTCTCCCTCACCCGAGTACCCTAAAGCTGGGGCTTGGGGGTGGGGGGCTTCAGGATCTGGGGCAGTGAGCCAGGGGGACAGGGAAGCAGCCTGGAGGCGGTGGAAACGTAAATACTTCCCTGTCCCCACCCCAACCGTCTTTTGGTCCTGAGATTCCACCATCCCTCACCCTCAAAGGCTCCCAGCCTGAAAGGAGGCTAGGAGCCCAGGCAGCTGCTGAAGGGAACACAGCCTGGTGACCAGGGGGGCTGCTGGCCTCTAAGGAAACCTCATCCTCCTGAGGAAGGTGACAGGGCTGGAAAAATCCCAGCAGGACCCAAATCCCTTGGAGGCAGATAAGGGAGCTGGTGGACGTGCAAACTTGCACCTGAGCCTCCGGGGGAGGGGCTGGAGCTGGAGCCCTTGGAAGGAAGTGGCCGTTAACTGGGAGGGGAGAAAACAGTCTGCCCACCCTCTTCTGCTCCTTGCTCCTTCAGACCCTTCCGCAAACACCTTCCTTACACAAGAGCCTTATCAGAGAGCCGCAAACTATAAGATTCTAACTGTATAATATGGGGAAACTGAGGCCTGTAGCCAAGGCTGGAGAAAGAATGAGAGCCTAGTGTCTGAATTACCTGCCATCTCTTAACACCTTGAGTTTCAGGCTAAGCCCTTCCCTGCCAGGCATAGGTCCTCTGGGCTGCACCCTCTTAACCCTATCCTCCTAGACAACAACCCCACTCCATTTCTCTTTCCCAGATATAGACAGGGAAACAGAAGGCAGGGCCTGGCAGGAACTGCTTTATGCTTGTCCAACAGGATGTGTGGCACCAAACCCCACAGGCAGTGTCAGACCCCACCCCAGCCCTCCCTAGGTAGGAGGGTTGGAGGGCTGGCCTATCAGGTGGCTTCCTTCCTCCAAAGTGAGAGGGTGGGGAGGTAAAGGGAGGGAACCTCTGCCAGATCTCGCCCTGAATTTGGAGAATGTGGGGCCAGATTCCAAGCAGTCTCCCTGGTGACTCTGGGGCAGGAATGCATCTGGAACAGGAAGCCCAGCCAGCAGGAATGCAGTGTCTCAGCACAAGGCTTTGTGTGGGCTCAAAAGAACCCACAGCCCCCCCCCCAACACACGCCCAAGCACACTCCCTTCCAGGCCACGTGCCTGGGCCTCCCCGCCATGCAGATATGCCTGAGCCCTCACGGTGATGGGGATCCCTCATGGGGGCCACACACTTCCTTCCTGTCTGCCTTCTGAAGCCCTGACTGGAGCAGCTCTGTGACCACCCAGAGGGCTCTGTACCCCTGCATGACCACCTCCCACCCTGCCTCCTACCAGAGGAGAATCCATTCCCTTCTAGCGGTGCGTGAAGGAGTGGCAAGGGCCGCTCAGCCACCCCCTCGATGACCACCTGACAGGTGAGCGGCTGCCCTGAGTTCCTGAGACACACAGTGGCTGAGCAGAGTCATCCCTCAGGCTGAGGCAGGGATGCCCAGCTGCCCCTCAATCTCCGTGGGGAAGTCCCAGCTTCAGGAAGCACATTTCCTGCAAGCTCAGCACTGAGCTAGACCCTGTGGGAGGAAGGGCAAAGCCAAGGGGCTGGGGACAGCTCCTGCCAGAATAGAGATGGCTGGGAGCCATGGTGACCTACCTTGTGGCCGGGAAGGCAGCCTCTCGTGATGGAGGGGCAAAAGCCCCCCACCCCAAACCAGAAATGCGGGATTCAGACTCCAGGTTCCACTGCCAGCCCCTCCCCTTACCAGCTCAGAGTCCTTGGCTACTCATACTCCCTGTCCACAGGTTCTTCATTTATAGAACAAGGAGGATAACAATACCTACCTCAGAATTGTGAGGATTAAAGCACTTAACACATCTGTATGTTAGAATTATCTAGCCATGTAACTTTGAGAATGTCACCTTCCCATCTCTAACTGAAGGGGGCTATATTAGATGCTCTCTCAGGGAACTTCCAACTTGAATCTGTCCTCATTTCTGAAGTTTTTCCCCCAGATGCAGAAAAAAGTGAAGAGGGCACAGCACTGGACAAATTGCTGTCTTAAAATTAGGTGGTCCCCCCCCACCACTGTACTATGTCTGGGTCATGGGGGGTGGGCGCTCACAGCTGGCTTGGGGTGGGGTTGAGGCCAGGGGTAAAAGATCAAAGACTGCCCCCAGCCTTCTCCTCTGACCAGTGGGTTTGGCTAGTAACTGCATCTTCCCCAGTTTGCTCCCAAGCTGGGGCTGGCTGTGTAGCTGCAGAGTGCTCTGAAACCCTCCGGCCGCGGAAGGAGAGCTGCCTGCCACAACTAAACAGGTGGATTTCAGCTTGTACCCATCCAGCCTTGGAAAGGCATTCAGCAACTCTCCGGCCTACCCCTTTCACAAGGGTCTCCACTCCACATCTGTTCTCCTCTACTCCTTAGAACACTGCTGGCCCACCAAGCTTTGTTACAGGTGAGGATCTGACCATGTTAATATTCCCACCCCCCTTTTCCAACCTGTCACTTCCCTGCTTAAAATGTTCAAAATGTTCCCAGAGCCTCAAGGTGAAGGTCAAACCACTTCTTCTGGCATTCAAGGCTCCCATCTCCCTTTCCAGTCTTCTCTTGGTACATCCTTTAGCCACTGCCCTAAACTGAGCATCCCGCCTGCACTCACCCCCATCTGTCGGCATTTGTCTGCTGCACCTGTCCAAGTCCTGTTCATCCTTACACACAGATGCCCTCTGCTCTACTCACAGGGCACGCCTGTATGTCCCACATTAGCTCTTGGCACTCGTGGCCATGTACTATGATTTCATTCGTGCCAGCTCAGTTGCTGCCACTTGACCATTGCCTTCAGGAAAGCATGAAAAAATGCTACATTCTTCTGTGTTCTCACTGTGCCAGGACCCGGTATTTACAGAGGGGTGACTGCCCCTTTTGCAGGCATTCTCCCCTGTCGTGGGCTACACCTGACAGTAGGTGGCGCCAAGGAGGCCATCCCATTGCGGACCAGGTGTTCTGGCCTGCAGTACTCCTGAGCCACCGAAAGCCTTGATCTTCTCTGTGAAAATAAAAGCAGCCATCCAGGCAAAAGGTGAGACAATTATGTCAGGGTGTAAATTATACCAACAGGTGCCCAGGGAGCCAACACAAACAGTCTCCACCAAGATTCCTTCCAAAAAGCCAGATAGCACAGTCTCTGAAGTCCAGCTTTGATCTCTTCTGTGAAAATAAAGCTGAGGCTGTGGCCCATTCTTCAGGCTGGGGGGTGGGGTGGGTCTGGAGCACCCAGCAGCACCCATGCACCTTTCTGAAATGTCCTCTGGGATTAGGACTGGGGTGGTGGGTGAATCAAGCCCTAAATCTGGTAGGGGACCTGCCCCCTGCCTCAATTCCACCATACCTGAGCGCAGACACGCCTAGCACTGGTCACCCATCCTTTTTGGGTTTGTTTTTGGTTTTCAAATCAACTAGCAGTGCACCAGCAGGGTCTCCCAGGGAAGGGGCACACAGAAAACCCTGGCTTGGAGGTGAGGCCCTTGGTGCGTGGTGGTCCCTCAGGGTGGGGGGCTCCCCTGGCATGTCCTTCCCAGGCAAGGCTAACCTGCAGCCTGTCCAAGGTTCTTTCTGGTGATTCTCTTTCTCAGATGGGTGCAGACAGCCTTGGCCAAGTGCAGGACGTACTCTAGATGTTGCCCCCTCTCCTGCCTACTGGCTCATCTGGGTAGGTCAGCTGGGCTGGCAGCAATCACCGCAAGTACAGCAAGGAGCACAGAGTGCCAGCCCAGCCAGTGCCAGGGAGCACAAGTCTGTCGCCCTGAGCCGGGCCTGGACAGAATGGACATCTGGGCCTGCTTCCTGTTTCTCTGCTGCCCACCCTCCAGCACCCCTCCGCCTCTCCCTGCTCCCAGTGAGAAACTCGTGCTCTAAAGAACCAAGGGTTATCCCAGTAAAACTGGCATCTTTATAAGAGTCCAGGACGTGGGGCGCCTGTGTGGCTCAGTTGGTTAAGTGCTTGCCTTCGGCTCAGGTCATGATCTCGGGGTCCTGGGATCGAGCCCCGCATAGAGTCCCCCATCAGGCTCCCTGCTCAGTGGGGAGCCTGCTTCTCTCTCTGCCTCTGCCCCTCCTCGTGCTCATCCACATCAGCGAGTGTTTGTGCTCTCTCTCTCAAATAAATAAAATCTTTAAAAAGAAGATTTTATTTATTTATTTGTCAGAGAG